TTGTTGTTCAACTTATGAGTTATATCTAAGAAGTCAATAAACTTTAAATAGCATAGAATAAGTTCTTAAACTTTCAATACAATATCTTACAAGTTTAAACTATTAAATACAAATTTAAAATTCAAAAACCTATTAAATACTTTATAAACACGACCTTCAAAATTTAATGACCAAACTTAAATTTTAAACTTGATCTTTTAATGTAAGGAAGTATTATCCATCATTTTTTTTGCTGATAACATATATAAAAAAGGTCCACATGTTTCAAATGCCATAATAAAATATTCAAAATTACTTGCTCAAAACAATTACAAGAGTCATAATGGAATATATCCATCAATTTTTTTGGGGAAAAAAATCCCATATGAATAGTTGAAAGGGAGAAGTTTCAATGAGTTTTCAATATAACAATAATACTTGTGCACAATAAGAATTTTAAGATGTAGGGGTAGATTTTTCCCTATTCTCCTCTTTCCGTAAAAGTCATTGATGTAAAACATTACATTCAAAACCACATCATAATCATTTGCCAAACAAATTGAAACTTTTCAAAGTAATATCAATAATAAGTGTTGGGCACAACCTTAGCAGTGGAGATTTGTGGGAGGCAGCCTGGCTTTTCTTTGCTTCAAAATCTTGAGCTAACCCTCAATTGTCTCCCCATTTGATGTTCTTGACACCTAAACAAAATCAGTTCCAAATCTTTCTAATGGAGTATTATAAGCAGATATTTTAGAGCAAATCCGAGCATAACTAAGTAGATAAAGCATTTGTTATTATCCTAAAGATTGACGGTTCCATTCCCATCCCGAACAATGTTGAACTCGAGGGATAAAAATAAAAAAAAAATAGTAATGCTTTTGGTAAATGCCATGTGCTTGGCTTCTCATACAGAATGGTAGTAGTATTTGTGCACATGCAACTGAGGTCAATAATCCTGTGAATGAAGTTCTAATAACATTAATAGATCTAACCATGATTCTGTCTTCTAAACTTCTATATGCTTTTTAAAATCTCAATTTTATCCCTTCATTCTGATAGTCTATTTTCTATTTTATTCTTTCAACTTTTAAAACTTCAATTTAATTGTTTCAATTTCACATGTGATCCCAGTATAAAAGTGATAATCTTGGTATACTCGCTTATAAAAAATCAACTTTCAAAAGTTAATAATCAAAATTTTAATAAAAAATATGTATCAAATTCCAAGATCAAAACTAAACACTTACCCAAATAATATAAACGAAGTGCCCTACCTCCCAAAGCTCCCAACTACTGATAAACAAAAATAAAAAGGCAAACAGTGGGGCATTAAACTCCAGCGACAACTTTTAATAATCAGATGCACAAATTGGATCTTCTGACATAAGCAATCTATCCTAAGGCAAGTTACTCGCTATTTGTTAGTGCTCACGACAACCCGTACGCTTCCCCTTTAATCCACTTTGCCAACGGCAAAATCCACCAATACCGGATACCTAACTTAGATGATTGACTAAAAGTAAACAGAATAATACAAACAGAAGCAGAAAGTGGAGGAAAGTTACCTGATTTCAGGATAACAAATTAATGGCTGCGATGGTAGAGTGTCTGCAGATCCTTGCAGTGAATGCAAGTCCATGGTAACAAGGGAGGGTCCAGACAGTACGAATGAATATGTCGAATCTGGCAAAGATGGCAACTCATGAGGAGGTCTTCTGGTTCCCGGCATCGGCATGCACTACAAACACCTCCTACAGAGGCCTGCTTTTAACCATCAAGAATCAGCAGTTGGTCCAGATGGGCCGTTTAACCATAATAGATGATTATGCCATCATAAAGATGCAATGAGTATTGTGAAGATGCGATCATGAAAATAGAAGTGAAACTCAAAGGTCAAGTATACAGTTCGGTGTGCTTGGGAGTTTCCAAAATCACCATCTAAGTAATACCTTAAAAATCAATCAATTTAGAGTGATTTTATGCATTCCTAAAATCAATTTTTTAATTTGTCAAACATGATCAACGGAAAGAAAAGTTATTTTGACAATGGCAAAAGTGATTTCGGCCATGCCAAAATCACTCCCAAACACACCCTTAACATGGCCGGGTCCTATTGATGCAACATAGTTAAAATCCTTAAAGCAATCAACAAAAAGAATTCTTCAAAAATGAAATGCTTATGTTTCATTGGCTTGCTTTACTTCTTGACCAATAAAGCATTTCACAACTAATCCATATTACAGTACACAATTTTCTTCAATATGCACAGAGAGAGAGAGAGAGATGATCAAGAAAATCTGGAACCCCATAAAAGACGAGATCTTAAATATCCTTGACAGCAGAAAAGAGATGTAACCTGAACACCGCTGTTAAGAGTTCTTTCATCGGGAAGAATGAAAATATCCAATAGTGACGGGCCACATGGAATTGTTTGAGAATATATCTTCTGATCTGAAGTGGCAGCTTCCTCAACCTTTGTGATGCTCAGAAAACTGGCTTTGCACAAAGGGCAAGTTGAGATCTTTCTGCTCGAAGCCTACAGGATCAAGAACAGTAGATTAGGACCTTGACACTGATTCCGAAATTCAAAGTACATGATAAAACGTTAACAGCATCTGGAAAACAGTTAAATCAATTGACAGAACGCATTCTACAAGATCAAAGGTATAAAAAATAAGAATGATAATTAATTAATAACTAGTAATAACCTCTGCATTTCAAACCATGTAGAAGTTGGCACCAGAGGAAAATAAATAAACTTGAAGCTTGCATAGTTCAACTTAGTTATAACGTCAGGTTTAAAGAATTTTCCATCCAGTTGAGAGTCGTTCACTATTGTACAACTATGAAGCCACAATTTTCAGGTTAATTCTTCACTATCAAATCAGTGATGTTGCTTAATAGTTCGAGAATCTCAATTCCCAATACAACTATACAAGACAAGTAGTGAAAGTATCCTGTGTTTAAAACCGACTGATAAGCTCAGTTTAATAAACTAGGATTTCAGATTTAAATTATGGAGGCACCAGCGTCCTTTAGATTATTTGTCTGGAAGTGCTTACTTTTGCATATATCAAAGAAAGGACTACCACGCATAACCCTAATTTACATGTTCGAAACATAATCATGAGTCCTACTGCAAAATATATGGCATTAATCATTATCATTCAGAAGATTATGACTACGATAACAAATTGAATTGAGTTGTTCTCTAGTCCCAATCATGGAGGCCGAGAATGCAACCTAGTTAGTGAAGTCAAAATAGCTGACTCTCATATGTTGAATAAATTAAAATTTTCGTTGTCCAAGGTCCTAGCTTTTATATTTGTGTCAACTTTAAGGCAAAAATAATGTCACAAGATTCACAACATAATTTAATTGGATCCTTCAAACATGTATAGAAATTGAATAAATCTTTTACCATGTGATCTGCCCAATTCTGAATGCATGAATAGCAAAACCGGTGCCCACAAGGCAAAACTCCCCTCATCGAACTAAAATCTGTCCAACAGATAACACATGATAACTCTGCTGAAGTGGGTAGGCTCGCATTGTGTTCTACAGCTGGGTCCTCAATTTCCTTTTGTAAAGTATCAATATTAGACAATTCATCTTCTGAAGATATCATGAGGACTCCTGGTGCATTCTCAACTGGTAAGTTCGCATCTTTGGAAGTAAATTGATTCTCGCGAGCTTCAACACCTTCAAAACTGTCACTTACAATTCCCCCTTCGTCACACAACAGACCATGATCAGATGATCCTCCAATGCCTACCACTTCAATATCTCTTTCATTATTCAAATGGCAAGACAAAACTGTAAAATTATTGCCATGGTTACGAGTTCCCAAATGATAGCACTCTGGGTCAAAATCCCAAACGTCAGGCTTACAATGATCTTCGCTAGTATTTCTGTTCAGAAGCCGCCGCCTCCGTGAAGATTTAACAGTAGGGGACAGATTACTATTTTCACCTTTTCTTTCATCTCTGGCCAAGCTTGAAGAGCTACCACGCTATTCAAATGAAATAAAGGCAAAATTTCTAAGAGAAATGGAAAATGGTTCAAAAGTACAGAAATTGAGGTTCACAGTACAATGCTTTTTTTTTCTCAAGTAGTGATGATTTACCAAAAAAGACAAAGAAATAGGATTTCATCAGGACAATAAAGGATTGGATACTTGAAAAAATTGAAAGACAAGGTGTTGCATACAAACCAAAAAAATGAACTCAAAAGAAAGTAAAAGTTACATATTAAAAGGAACAGACAATTTGAAAACTATCTCCTGGTCCAATTAAAAACTGCAAAGGTGTAATTGTTAAAAATGGTATTGTCTACATTTAAGTTGTGGCATTTGACATTCTGTGGTCATCAAAGTAAAACAAGCAGAAGTTCAGAAATTCAAAAGACACGGTTGATGAGCTTCCAAATCTTCCTAGATGAGGCAAAACGTCTGAAAGCTAATAACCACAGGCAGTTGAATAGATTGACAAGTTTATGGAGTATAGAACTTGAAATTATTGGATGATTAATCAGAACATATCAAGTCATCAACCCACAGTGAGAATGTAGAAGTAAAACACACTAATAAATTGAAGAAAACTACTAACAAGTCACATGTGTTGATAACTAGAACAGACTCTTTTCTAGATTTAATTTAGTTAGAATTTAGAAACAATACAAATGTTATACTTTAAATTTGACTCCATAGAGAAAGACTCAAAGCATGATTATGTTAGCATACGTCTGTGGCAAATTTGATTAATACAAAACATTATAAATGCTATACCACTCACATGTACACAGTCATTTTATCATCAGGCTTCACAGTTTATTTCCCGCATATCAACCCCTCTTAATCATCTTGCATTGTTTATTCATGGCCTAGACGAATCTTGCCAAACTCCTTTTCCTATTGAAAGTTCTACAACTATCTCTCCTGAGCCGTGTAGTTATAAGGATGCTAAATGCACAGAAGTACGGGAAGTGCATTCCAATACTCAACTCACGTACAAATATTACTGTTGCAGTCAATAATCATAGTCAATACATGCATTCTCCTACTCTTACTCATAGGGCTTCCGTGGAGAGATTCTTCATTATCTGGGAGGTTCTTAATCCTATGGTTGCATTTTCATGCAGGTAACATTTAATCTTCATGCCTATTTGGACTCTAGTTAGGCTAGAAACAATACTGATAGGCTCTCAACCACTGGGTGTGTGACACTTTTGTACCATGATCTTATATCACTGTCTGGAAAGAAGCTTCCACAACTTCCAAAAGCTCTGACAGAAGCTAAACCAAGCGGCTAAACCAGCTTGGATCAAACAATTATTTGAAGATCTCTGTGTTCCTTAATTCTCCCGTTGTTTGATGTCATGTTGTTTCCTCTACTTCCTAGATCCAGTCTTTTATGGCCACAGTAAGCATGTAGAAATTGATTTTCACTTTAGGTAAAAGTAGTGCTCAAGGATAGTTTATTGAAGATTGTTACTGCTGCTCATCAACCGATAATTTTACTAAACCAATGACTTTAAAACATTTGTCATATCTTAGAAGCAAGCCCATGCCCTTTCTTACTCATTGCCATTTGTTTGAGGGGGTATATCTAGGTATACCGCTAAATAAGTTGAATTAGTTTAGTTTTTTTTAGTTCAGCTGTTTAGTTGTGGGTTGGTTAGCTTAACACATTAGTGTATATGTCCTGTACTATTTAATAACTTTATTTGTTGTGTCGAATAAAATAACAATAACAGTGAAAGTTTTCAAAGTTTTTTCAAGCAGAAAATTCAGTAGGTCCCTACTTCGGAATAAAACCAGGACATATCAATTTATTGGAAGTTTGTGAGAATAGAATTTTAAATCATTGGAAGTTTAATCAGAACATACCATGTCATGAACCAGCAATTAAAACATTGGAACCAGATCATATTTAAAGAAAACTACTACACATTAGTAATTAGAATAGAAATTTCTTAGATTTAAACCTCACGCTAGTACAAGAGTACCACACATTCTAGACATGAAGCACAAAAGAAGCGGACCTAACCATATGAAGTATAGCCACATGGACAAAAATGCTTGGGAAAAGGTAAGATGGAAAGAATAGTGATATATCTTACCTCAATTTCGAGAAACTCGGAGGGAGTTGGTTCCTGAAAATTATTTCTGCTACTTGAGTTTGATGGGTCTTCTTGCTTAGAAATCTTCTTCCGCAATTTGTGCTTTGATTTATGAGAGGTGTCGTCACTTTTTCCAAAATCAGAGAACAGATCCTAGATGGGATTAACATTAAAAAGGTTAATAATGAGCATTACCTTTAAGTAAATACCGAACTCCTACCATTATCTCTTAAGATAATAGCATGCACAAAGACAAGATCTTACTTATGGGCACCAAGACTCTAAGAATCAATGTATTCATGAACGTGAAGAAAATAATGAATTCCTCAACTGAAATTACTAACTAAACACCATGAAAGGAAATCTAAATCAATTTTAAAAATCCATATTCTTTCATTCCTTCCCTAAAAAGTTTAAATCTTCTTGAGATATGAGTTACAACAAAATAATTAATCAATTAATTTCTCCCCACTTAAAGCTGAAAAATATTTAGGATAGTTTGTGCAAATATCTTTAGAGGTAAAAATGTCTTAAATCACCTTATCCAGCAAACAAGAACGTGGCCAGATTGCACCAAAAGAGTATATGCTTTTAATGCTCTGCTCTTCAACATTTCCACAATTCTGTGACTTTTCAGAAAGCACGTTATACTTTGTGGTTGAGACAGAATCCTTGGCAGCAAGAGGGAGTTCAATTGACAAGGGACCTGCTGATTGGCCACTGCAGGAATAAAATCCACAATGCAAATCGTTAAAAATAAACACGAGTGCAGGATAGATGCTGAAAAGCAATGGTGGGAAATCATCTGATATGTAGTCGAACCTTAAAGAAAGCTCAAGACCCTAACAAAGAAAAGGCAAAGGAGAACAAAAGGAAGAACAGATAATCAGAAACAATAAGTCATTCAATTGATAAATTAAGTTCTCGTTTACTATTATATGTTTCCGCAGGAATATTTCAAAACAAGAAATCAAGAAATGCACATTGCACTTTCTTTTAAAAAGAAAAACAGTTCCTGATTTTTGGACAAAACCCATATGACAGAAATATAATGTTATTGCCTGCTATACTATTTGCAAAAAAAAATATAATGTGATGCAGAATGAATAACATTCCGGATAGAATTGATTATACCTTTGAAGAATGTAAGGACCTTCTGGGACACGCTTTCCTTGCCTGATGCAATCTTCAAGCCAACGATGGTTGACTATTATTGTTTTGAACTTCTTAGCAAGACTAAATTTCCTCCCTTCCAATTTCCAACAAATCTAATCACCAAAGAATATAACAATAAGTAACATCATTTTTTAGCCAAAGATTGCAGATGGATGAGTGATAGATACTGCATAATTATACTCCAAAAAGCTTTTCGTTAAATCCTCATTCAATACTTTACACTCATTCTTTCTTCATAAACATCTTTAAAAAACTTATCTTATTGAAAACCTTTTGGTGCTTTTCAAACTGAAATATAGACTACAATTAAAACCCACCAAATGAGTAATAGACCTTGACATTGCACCCACATAGCTGGCACCAGTATAAGATATCATCTTGATAAGGTTGAATCTTTCTGTGCCATGGTAGCCACTGACAGTCGCAACAACAGATTCCATACCTTCAATTGGACAACCTACAGGCATGGCAAAATCAAAGCACTAAATCCCAGATCGAAAGGAATCTAGAGTACATATTGCCGCGAAACAACAGCGAATTGAACCTGATAACTAGCAATAGAGAATGCTAATACTTCTAGGGTAAAAGTAAACAAAAAGCCGCAGCTGAACCAAGAAGCACAAACAGTTCCATATTGCAACTAGAAACTCAAGCGTGCATTATAAAGAAAATGATGATGAGTACAACTTTGATCAATGACGATTGAGAGCTTGCAGTCGAAACTTCATTTCCATAATCCACAAAAAAAAAATTAAAAAAAATACGACGGAGGAAACAATACACTGACGAAATCAGAATTCTTCAAACAACTATAATTGACTGAAACAGGATACTATCAAGATCGAGCGGAGAAAATCTGCCACAACCCCAAGAACATCATTAGCAATTTGTTGCAGAAGCAAGGGTTTGGAAACAGGTACGAAGAGAGAGAGAGAGTCACCATAATGTCGATTAGGGCAGGAGAGAGCTCCATAAGCGAGATTCTGGTGTTGCTCCTCCATAGCATTCTCAAGGAATTGCCGGGAAATTTTGGAAAATAATTTTGAATTTGGTCAGGGAGAAGAAAGCGAGCTACTTCTTGAGGGGTTTTTTTTTTCCTATAAATATATATCTCTCATTTGTTTCGTAATTTTCAATGCTACACAACACAGGTAGAATTTGCAAAAATAATAATTAGGGTGCGTTTGGTTCTACAACATAAATCTGAAAATAAAATGTTTCTGGCAGATTTGAAAATTAAATCTATCCCAATTAAAAAGTTGTTCAATATGCATTTAATAATATATTTGTAAGTAAGTAATAGTTATAAATTAAATATTTTCATTATCGAAATAGTAGAAAAATCCTGGAGAAAAACCTTTTCCAATCTCATCCCAAGTAACCCATAAGAAGTATAAAATAATGAAGGAAAGACAAACACGTTGTAGAAAATTAATATACGAAATTAATATGTATAACGTTAAAATAAATTAAGAACCTTATCAATAATAACATGTTTTATAACGTTAAACAAAAATTAATTTTTTAAATACTTCCCCCCTCTAAATCTATGGTTACATTGCTTTACTTGAAATGGTTTGTAAAATACATTTTCCTTTTGATATTTCTAATAAATTTTACTGTCCAACTATTCATATATATATATATATATATATATATATATATATAAATGAAATGGTTCCTAAGAAATCTAACATTTCATTTAATTATATTATAATTTAACGTAGATGATATGTGTTTTATATTTCTTTTACTATATAAAAATATATATTTTCTAAAAAAATGAACTCAACTAACAAATATGAAGTGGTAAAAATTTTCATTATAAACAAAAATCAGTCAAAATTACTCCAGCTCTTGGATTCGAACCCCACTTTTCATTATCTTTTTATTTTTATAAATTAATATGATTATTGTACTTTTTTTATGAGCTCGATTATTGTATTTATTTAAACATTAGTAAAGATGCACGAGCTTAACAAACATTTACTTAGTTTTAAAAATTATGAATTAGTATTGACGTACGCATAACTTATTTAAACACCTATTTCTAATAAGTTTGTGAGTTTGAATCCCCATTTCATATATTATATTAAAAAATTTATGAATTAGTCGAAATAAAAAAAATTTGACCCACGCACGATTACGATTTGTAGTTTGTATCATTTTGATTAATCCATAAGAATCGAATACCCATATTCCTGAACCAAAACATCTTGTTATATAAAATGCACCACGACCCTTCTTTTAATCTAAAAATACAATTATAACGACAAATGAATATACGATAGTGTCTCTTTCAAATTGGATATCGTGAAAAAAGTTTGGACACCAATGTATCTACTCAAACAAATAGATACATAAGACATGCAATTGGATAGTGAAAATTATAAAACAGTAAAAAATCATTATTTCATTTTGCTTTATTATTTTTGTTACGTGCTTTTTATTTCAAGCATAGTTCTAAGTTGATGACATTCATCCAATGGGAAGCTGTGTGAAATTAATGAAAAATGTGAGGGTCACCAACCACATGACAAAACTTTTGTTTACTTATTAATTAGTAATAAAGGAACAACAAAATAGATAAATTTGGTAGGTGGGGGGTGGGGACTGAATTATTTAATTTAAGATAATATATTTTCAATATTATTTAATAGATGGGGTACGACTAACATATGTGATTTTGAAAATGAAATATATATACCTATATTATATACTTGCTTATGTATTTAAAATGAAATATACCGTGGTTGATTTTATATTAGGTGGAGATTTGAACTCATATAATTTTTATTGGGTGGAGATTTGAACTCATATATTTTTTTATTACCTTAACTGTCAATATAAATTAAGTTTAAGATAGGAGTGATTGGTACCTATTTCTAATTAAGAGATTACGAGTTCGAATTCCTATTAAATATTAATATTGAAAGTGATTTTTTTTTTTTAAATCTGATAATATTTATATGGAATCGAAGAGAAAAGTTCGAAATTGAATTGGGTAAAGAAAAGGAACGTGTTGTTCAAATATGACCACCGCTACCATAAGAATGAGGTCCGTTCAAGAATCGAGAGGCTCGGAAGAAAGCAGGTCGTGTTTGGATTAGAAATAATGGAGTTCTTGACCGGAATACGACGACAAACACGGACACTGTGGACCCCCAACCAATCACTCCTCAATCATCTTCACGTTTTCAACTTTATTTCTTCTGCTTTCTATTTAAGTCAACACCAAAACGCTGACGTTTTGACTCTCTCTTTCATTTTTCCAAATTTCTTTCCCAAAACCTTATATTGTTATAAAATGTATGATTTGTAGTTAAATTTTAATAGTCATACAAGGAAGAGTTTTTTTAAAAAATTTCACTTCTCGAGATTATTCTACTTTGACATCCAAAGTTTAAAATCTTTATTTTAATTCATAAACTTTAACTAGTGATTTTTGTTAGTCCAATATATAAGGATAAGGATTCGAACGCACGATATATTGGCCGCAGATAAGTATCTTACCCCATGAATTATGCTCATATTGGCACCAAAGTGATTTTTTTATTTGTTAAAGTTCAATAATTAAAATATACACTTATATATTTTGTTAGTAACAAGATGATATTTTTTTTTCTCAATAATTTTACCATTCATATGATGAATAAGAGTTAAATATTCAAAATAATAACCGGTAGAAAATGTAACTAATATTTTGACTAGTCGAGCTATACTCGACTCAATAATAAGTTAAAATTTACTATTAAAACAAAAATTAATAAAAATTAATCAATCAAATAACAAAGTCACATTGAAAACGACCTGGAAAATGGCTCAACAAGTCATGGATGGTAAAATATGAATATTTCATATATATCCAAAGGTAAATCCGGTAGAAATGTGGTAAAGTTAATAATCAAATATTTGACCAATATAAACTTAATAGAACTATACAAATTCCAAAATTAAGATTTTTAAAATAGTTAAAACATGAGAAAAGGTATAATAAAAAATATTAGTTAAATTAACTTTAAAAGTTGCATTAAATATGTTTTTGAACTTTTAATTATAAAATTGAAAGACATATCAGACAAGTGGATATAGACTCGAGAGGAGTAGATGGTTAATTTACGATGAAGTCCCTACTATTTAGTAAGATATGGGGAATGAGAATTAGGGTTAAATTCGTCGTTGAAAAAGAATAATAAAAATAAAATTAACGGCTGAAAATTGCCAGTTGTCAGTGTTTGGAAGGTGCTGATTGGTTGGTTCGTGGACGAGACGGCGATGACAGAGGAAAAGCGGCCCACCAGACTTGCCTCCGACCTGTCTCCACATCAGGCAATTCTGACTGCACACGTGGATCACATGAATTAATATTCTTCATTTAATACAATCAAAATTAAAAACAGAGCTTTTAAATTTATTTTGATTTATAAAGATTAAAATACATTTTTCATCCGCTTATTTTTGTCTCTCTATTTCAAAGCGTTATTTTTATTCAGTACTACTGGTTTTGGTTTATTTTAGTCTCATGCTCTTGGATATATTATTTTAGTCCTGTACTTTTTAAATAGAGTCTATTTATTTTATTTTTTTATCTCGTTTTATTATATCACAATTTAATATGATACTATACATAATAAATATTTGAGATGTGGTCATAGTTTCGTATTAAAGGATTTCATCGAGTATAGAAATTGTGTTAAAATTTTATAAATATGGACTAAAATGATCCCTTCTAAAATAATATAGACGTTTTGAAAATATATGGACTAATTGGAAAGAAAAAAATTTAACACCTTATAACTTTTTACTCTTGATTGTCATTTTGGAAAATATTTGTTTAAAATAGAAATTTGCAAAATTGTTTGTTTCCAGAAAAACTTGTTTTCTAAAATAAAACAATCACATGAGACCTTATTCTTAACAATATTTCTCCCAATATTGTAAATAAGAGCAATGCAAAAGGTTTAAAACAATTTATTACTAATTTTCTGGAGAATGTGTTTAAATAAGAGGTCATCGATCTGTCAACCCCTCAACAATAATTGATGTGTATCTGATTCGAATCCTCACTTGATGTATTGAAAAAAAAAGTCATTTATCTGCATTATAATTATCATATACTTGGGAAAAACATATGATTTATGAGAAAGAATTATTCGTTCATGTACCTTAATTCTTAGGTTTCAATAATACCACTTAATTATTAATGTTAAATATAGGTTAAATTACATATAATGTTTTTGCATTTTAAGTACCACCCGATTCCAACGACATTTTATATTTTGAATAAAGGTACCGTTGGATAACAATTTTGTTTTTAGTTTTCATAATGATTTCTTTTTGTACAACTTTATTAGTAAGTTTTTCACTTCTCTCGAAGACATATTTGAATTTTTAGTCAAATCTCAACAATAAAAATAAGTTTTTTAAAACTATTTTTTTTTTTCAAAATATGGCGTAGATTTTGAGAATGTTTATAAAGACTATATAGTATGGTGAAAATACTATTTGTAAGCTTAATTTTTAAAAACACAAAACAATAAATGAAATTGTAATCAAACGGGACCTTAATTTTTTGAAGTTTTTTTTCGTGAGAGGTGATATCAAACCTTTTAACTTTGGAGAAAATAAAGGTGCTAATTTTAACCAATAAATTAATTTGAATTGACAAATATTTTTAGTTTTGTTACAATTAATATTGTTCGAAAATGCATAGTAGGACGGATTTTTTCGAAAATTAGATGTCATTTGGGTGATTTTTGAAAGCTAGTTTGTCGACTTATTCGAAGGCTAAAACCTAATAATTCATTAACTAGAAATGTAATTTACCTTTGAGACGTGATATGTATATGATCTCACCGTGTAAGATCAAGACACAAAATGAAAATAAAAATAAACTTGTAAAATGCTACGTGAATTTGAACAAGGACAACAACAAAAGAAACACAGACATAAACATCATGACTAAAAAAAAACACGCAATTTATTTAGAAAAACAAATCCAACGTAAATCTTATTAGAGTTCAGCATCTATAATGAACACTATTATGCTAAATAATAACACGAGCACAAACATCACTCTGAACAAGTTCTTATAATCGAAGTAGCACATATTAAATAAACAAAATAAAGTATGGACAAAATATATAGTTTCTTTATAAAGAGAAAAGATACAATAGGAAATAGATAAACTTAATTTGATGGGTGAATGAATGTTCTTTATTTTGACATAAAGTAAAGTTAATAAATCCGGAATTAAAAATATTTAAAAGTCTAAAAAAGGAATAAAGGGAGAAAAGGGCAAGAAGGAAAAAATAGATGAATAAAGAAATAAATGCATGGGTAGTCCCGTCCCGTTACTTCGTCTCCAATCCATTTCAATGTGTAATGTCCAAAATGACCCCAATTAGATAACTCTTCGCTATGGCACGTGTTTGACTCCCACTTTATAATAAAAACGAACGCAAGAGACTTGGAATCACGAGATAATAATTCATTCCAAAAGATGAGTCGGCTTTGACATAGAGCCAGTCACCTACATTTTCCCAATCCCAACAAATAAAATTTTAAACCATTCAACTATATATATTTTTATTTAAATACTATTTTAATCGATATATTTTTTCCTTTATTTCGTCATAGTTATCGTGATTCCAAATCTGATTCATTTTCAATTTTGTACTACAAAATTTTTTTAAATATAAATTTAGTTTTATGTTTCAAAAAATACATTAAGTAGAATATTATGGTAAAATAATAGTTGAAATAAATAAGATAAAAATGAAAATAAATGAATTAAAATAGTCACTTTCTTTCAATATTGGAATTAAAATTAACAAAAATAAAAAAGACAAGGACTAAAATTAGTATTTTGGAGTTAAAATAACTAAAATCGAAAATATAGGAACAAAAAAACTAAATCAATCAACACTTAATTATTTTATTAGAAAAAAATTCATTATCCTTTTTTAACATATAGGAGTATCGAACCTATAATTACTTAATAGATGAAATATGTTTTAACCACTTTGAATTATATTTATTAAAAAAAAAGAAAAAAAACAAAGACAAAAGACACCTTATTGGTTCAGTCGATTTCATGGAGATAGTGTTTTCAACCTACCGTTTGTTGTTTTGTTTTTTGTTTTTTTGTTTTTTTGGGAAACCAACTTACCATAAAGTTTATTACGTTGCATTTTTTTAATTTTGTATATATCTACAAAATCCAGGCTGTATTCCCTCTCCCGTCTTCCAGAATAATCCCCCTATATGATTGTATTATATTTTTCAGATTAATTGGATAAAATAAGTCCGGTGAAAATTTATTTGGTTAATTTATTTTTCTAAGTTATTTTCGAAATTTATAATTCAAATAGTACAAATTCGGAAAACAACATTTTGAAATTACATCTTCTATATTTTTTCATTCAATCCCTTGTTTTCAAAATTCTATTTATTGATCGGCTGTCTAAGGGGATAATTTATTGGTTCGTGGTATAGATGTGTCAAACATTTGTGCCTTTTGCGGAGTGAAAGGCGAGTCTGCTCTTCATATTTTATGGCATTGCAAGAAAGTCCGCCCTCTCTTGAATTATTTTCGTGGCTCCGCGGTGGAGTCGTTGGGGTAGTGACGAGTGTGTTTCTTCTTCTTCGTGATTGGTTAGAATTGGTCAATTGGCCTGGTATTGAAGAAATTTCAGTTTTCCTCTGGGAATTGTGGAATACTCGGAATCAACAATTGTTCTCTTCTGACAGTAGTGCTCCGCTTGATGATCTTCCTGATGAGGCTAGAGCCTACTTACAATCGTATAAGGAGGTGTAGGGGGTTTCCCTTTCCCTCTCGGCTCTGTCGTAAGAGGCGCACCGCATCAAATTGTGGTCTCCGTCGGTTGAGGGGTTTGTTAAACTTAATGTGGATGCTGCGTATAGGGCGACTTTTTCGTTGGCTGGACTGGGGTTTATAGTTCGAGATTCTCTTGGACGGGTCCTGTTGTTGGGAGTGCGACCTTGGCAGTGTGTTTTTTAGGTGGATATAGCTGAGGCGCTTGCGGTTCGGGAAGGAGTCCTCGTGGCTAGAGAGGTTGGGTTTTTTCGGTTGCAGATTGAAATGGATTATTTCTGGGTGTATCAGCTCCTCACGTCTGATAGGGAGGATGAATCAGATGTGGGTGTTCTTTTTTCTTCTTTCAAGGCGATGCTGTCCGATTGGGGTGCTCAAATTTTCTTCAGTTTTGTGAATCGTGAAGGTGTTACGGCTGCTCATCGGCTGGCGCGTCTGGCTTTGGATTCGTCTGATCTGCATGTCTTATCTCTTTACGTGGAGGAAGATTATTTTCATGTTTCATCTTCTAGTGTAATGGTTTTTTGCATTTTCATTTRCTTAAAAAAAATCTATTTTCAAAATCATTGCTATATCTCCTGTTTCCACTAAATTGATTTCAATAAATTAAAGTTTATTTTCTAAAATATGAATGATTTAATTTCTTTTAAAACCATATTAAAAAGTAAATTATAGTTTTTAGGCATAAGTCACTTTTCTTTAATTTATTAACAATAGCATTTCATTAAATATATTTAACACTATATATCTATATATTATTTTGACAACCTAGACATAACCTAACAAGTTAATACGTCAAAGTGAGCATCGTAATTGACATATATCTTCAATCAATAAGTTGTGAGTTCGATCTTTACTCATCACATATTATATTAAAAAAAAACTCAACTAGTTAATACGAGTTTCGAATGTTCAAGTATCTCATTTCACATGTTTTTCTAATACAACATGAACCATCTTCAAGTTGGCTCTTTCATATGTTCTTGAACTTAAAAAAAAATTATAATATTGAAAACAATAGTACCAAAGTTGTAGTCTAAACCACCAACTAAATTAAAAAATGATAAGAAAATTGTTTTAACATGTTTCAGTCATTCATATTGACCATACAATTTAACAGTGAAAATACAAGTGTGAGACGTTTTAAATACTTGTTTAAATTTGTTTTTAAAAAAATACTCGTTTAAATTATAAGACATCAGTTGTAACGATTTTATCATTAATTTTGAAAAATGATTTTGAAATCTTAGTCAAAGAAACAAGTACAACTTCTCAATTTAACACGATTTATTTCAATCATAGAACATTAAATTTTGTTTTCAAAATAATTAAAAAAAATTAAAGCATAAACCATGCTCATTAGAGCCACATGTTTAAAATTTTTAAATTAGTTAGAGAATAAATGAATTAAAGTAATGTTTCTTAACTATTCAAATAATGTAGTAAATATAAAAATAGAAAAAATAGATAGATAGCTTAACCAATTATCTACGCTATTTATTAATATTACATAAGGAGAAAATAACATTTATACGAGTTTGAACATAGATCTCCTATTCTAATAGAATACCTTGCTAAATCATCAAATCATCAATTTTAAATTAATGGATTGTTGGATTTTTAAATTGTGAAAAAAAGTGAAATTTGAAATATTGATAAACAATTGAATATTACAAATTTAATATATGGAAATTAAATTTGTAACTTTTAATTCACATGTACGTTGAATTTTGTTTCATTGTGTTTATTAATTGTTATTTATCTCTTTAGTTGTTATGTTTCTTCATTTGATTAAAATTGAAGTTATATGTTTAAATAAATAGTTAGTTTCTTAATTGAAGTTATATGTTTCATTTTGAGATATACCACAATTGGGTATTATCCTCCTCCCACAAGAGTTATTATCTTCTTTTAAGTTGTTCTTCTTGTTTATGTTGAGAGCAAATATTTAAGAGTTATGCTAGATCTGAGTAGTTCGAGGTTGTAGTTCTACCAGAGTTAATTGTTGTGTCCTATTGAGACGATCGCGGTAGACTGCTAGCAACTTGTGCAGAGCAAATAATTGTCTTTAGGTTAGTGCTTTATTTATCAAGTTTAGTATTCATCAAATTGTCAGAACTATATTTTGTAGTCAGTAATCTGTTTGTCAGTATTACACAGTTTATACATACAACGTATATTTACGAACATGAATCACAATAAATTTAATATTTATAGATACCTTTAGACAATATTTTTTTGAAAGTAAGTATAAATAAAAAATGATCCATGTGGTTGTTTTCTTAATTATTTAAATACTTTTTAAATAATAATTTTATTTTTTATTTTACATTTTTAGAATCATTTTTTTTTGAAAATTTTTTAAATAAAGCTTATAAACATAAGTTTGACCCATATATTTATTTGTTTTGTTATATACTTGTTTTTAGAGTGTTTTTAAAATATAGATTTAAAAACTGAGGTCTCACTCTCTAACCATTTTTTTGTTTTATATTTTTGGTGATTAATTTCATAAATACTACTTTTATAAGCCTAATTTTAATAAAATACTAGTTTGTTTTGTTTCTTTTTTTTTTTTTAATTTTAAACATATTAAGAAAAAGATGAAAAACATATCAATAGGATTTGAAAAAGCAAGAATAATTAAGGGAAAAAAAAAGAAAAACGAAATCGTTAACGATGTCAAAACAACATGGAAATTTCTCTACTCAGAAGAATCGATATGATTTAAAATTAATTAGTTTCCTTGGTTGAAAATGATGCTCTATTTTAGAAAACCAAATATGAATACCAAACGGAATCGGAATATTTCTTAAAGCAGAGATTATTATTTAAAATTTTAAACCGAGTAAAAACCAAAAAGGTAACTATTAAAAAATATTTTAATATCTTAGCACCCCGCGTTAGAAAACGAACAAGGGCAGAGGCGTCATTTCACAGATCTAGAATATGGTAGCGTGAAGACGAGAGAGAAAGTAGGGCAGAGGCGTAATTAAATCGAAAACTTGTGGTTTTTCCGCTGAAGTTTCGCTATATAAGTTCCCCCTTCTCCATTAGAAACCTCACAAAAACGCAAACGATCTGCTGCCTCTTGAATTCTCTGATTTCTCTCAACAATTTGTTTGATCTGTTCTCTTCCGCTTTGTCGTTATCCTCAGCCCTTCTCGCAAGTTTTAGGGGTTTTCCGGGTTTCTTTCGCCGCCGCTCATCTCTCTGGTCTGTAAGTTTTTGTGTTTTATGATCTCTTTACGTTGTGGATTTCTTATTTTCTTTGTTCTTCGTTCGATTCTGATTCTGGGTTGCGTTTCTGATCTTGATTTGGTTTTAATATTAGGTTTTTATTGGAGGAGGTTCGAAGGAAAGGGTCTCTCGGTGTTTGACTGTTGCACCGATTTTATACATTTTGTATTTATTGGTACGTCTTCTTTTCTTTTGTGGATGTTGAGGAAGATTGATTCACTGATTGGAGTCTTTTATTTGTGCGAATACGATTGATTTTTCGTTGCGTTTTGTATTTAGGGTTTTATTGATTCATATGTGTCGATATGATGATCTTGATCCGAATGGACAATCGATTTCTGAAAATCTCAATAGATTGAAGTTTACGTTTTATCTGCACAATTTATTTGGGTTATAGGGCTATGTTTTCTCTCTCTTTTTGTTCTACGTTTTTTCTGTCGGTCTTTGATGGTGCTTGCATGACGACAATTTCGAGGACTACCGTAAAAAAGAAGGGGTTTCTCTTTCGGAATGCAAAAAGAGGGTTGTAGTTAACTTTTATATAATATATCAATAGATTAATAGGAGGAATATCATTTGGTTTTTCTTTCACGGATTATGTCTTGCAAATGTTGCTTTGATTTGTGCGCTTTTTCATAAAGTACTGTTTCATGATTGCAGCTGTATGCTTATACAGCTTTTATTTGTTGGGATTATGTTTTCTATGAAAACAATGTTTGCCTTTTACTCATGACTTCTTGATTTTCTCTTTCATTCTATTTTTGTATTTTTATATTGTTCTTCATTTGAATCATCTATTGATTGAGGTCGAGCGAGTTACTTTTTTTCCATCGATAAATTTCCTTGCGCTCTGATGTAAATGAATCGGTTTTCCCGTCTATGAATTTTGGTCGTGTGTTCTATTACGTGTATTTTTTTCTCTTCAAGGTGAGGCTTTTCTGATCTCATTTTTGGTTTCATCATTTTTGCAGGAGCGAATGATTTAATGGAGTCTAAAGGTGGCAAGAAGAAGTCTAGTAGTAGTAGTAGTAAATCCCTTTTCTACGAAGCTCCCCTCGGTTACAGCATTGAAGACGTCCGACCACACGGTGGAATCAAGAAGTTCAGATCTGCTGCTTACTCCAACGTATGTTCCTACTTTTTACACAATCCTGTTTGTTATTGTAGCTTACTATCTGTGGGTTGGCTGATGACTAATCTCTTTTCTTCTTCTTCTGCAGTGCGTGCGAAAGCCATCCTGAGTTCTGCTGAATTCCGTTCACCTAGCCCCGAGATCCTTAGTTTTGCAATAATTTTTAGTTTGTCCTTTTTATTTTCTACTCTCTACTTCCCAAGTTCTCTCGTTCAATCTCAACATCATTTACTTCCCTTTAAGAAAAGATGACGTTTCCAACCTCTGCGATCGGATTTGAAGGCTATGAAAAGAGGCTCGAAGTTTCATTCTTTGAGCCGGGTGTTTTTTCTGACCCAAGAGGCATGGGTCTTCGTGCTTTGTCAAAGGCACAATTGGATGAAATTCTGACTTTAGCCGAGTGCACCATTGTCGATTCTCTGTCGAACGACTATCTTGATTCATATGTCCTTTCAGAATCGAGCCTCTTTGTGTACCCCTACAAATTCATCATCAAAACTTGCGGCACTACTAAGCTGCTCCTGTCCATTCCAGCTCTGCTGAAGTTAGCTGATTCTCTATCTCTTACTGTGAGATCTGTGAGGTACACTCGTGGCAGCTTCATATTTCCTGGTGCCCAGTCCTTCCCCCATCGTAGCTTCTCTGAGGAAGTTGCTGTCCTTGATGGCTATTTGGGCAAGCTCGGCCTTGACAGCACTGCATATGTGATGGGAAGTCCTGATGAAACGAAGAAGTGGCACGTTTACTCTGCTTGTGCCAACATGGGGAGCAAAAGCAACAACCCTGTATACACTTTGGAAATGTGCATGACCGGCTTGGACAAGGAGAAGACATCTGTCTTCTTCAAAACAGACGCGAGTTCTGCTGCTGCCATGACCAAAAATTCCGGTATCAGGAAGATCCTCCCAAAATCTGAAATATGCGACTTTGAGTTTGACCCTTGTGGCTATTCCATGAATGCCATTGAAGGAGATGCAGAGTCTACCATCCATATCACTCCTGAAGATGGGTTTAGCTATGCAAGCTTTGAAGCATCTGGCTACGACTTCAACGAAGTAAATCTGTCCCAGCTGATTGGGAGGGTGCTGGCATGCTTCCAGCCATCTGATTTCTCTGTTGCCCTCCACTCCGATGACTGTGGTGAGAATCTGGAAGACTTGCTTTGCGTTGAACTGAAGGGGTACGAAGGTGGAGAGAAGAGCTGTGAAATGCTGGGGGAAAATGGAACCGTCATCTACCAGAGCTTTATGAAGACTGGAGATTATGCCTCATCTCCGAGATCAATCCTGCTGAAATGCTGTTGGAGCGACGATGAGAAGGACTAGGGAGTTGGGAAGTAGTAGTATGAACTTTCTTCAACTTTTTGCTCGCGATTTATCTACTATAGTAATGAATAATGAAAAAAAAAAGTATCTTGGGGTTATGTTTCTGAAAAAAAAAAACTAAGCTAGCTGCCTTTGGTGTGGTTTGTGCAGCATATTAGAAAGTCCTGTCTGTCTGTTTGTCATTAGTGTCTTGTTCTTTGTTCTTTTTGAATAATTCCCGGTTTGGGAAGGCTGATCGTGAGAGTCTGCCTTAATTGTGTACGTTTTCATTCTATCATGTTATAATGGAAACTTATTGTATTTTCTTGTTTTTAAATCGTGGGTTATACTTTTGATTGCTTTTTAATGGAAGTGATGTTCCAAGTATTAGCAAAAAGGGAACAATAATGAGGGGACAAAAGAGTTGAAAAAGGGCGATTTTGGGTGTCATGATGAAGAAAATCACAGGTGAGGTTGATGATTTCCAACACTCATCTTGAAAAGTGCAGTGGGTTGGATTAGTGTGGACCTGATCTGATCTTGAGTGCATAGAAATTTGCCATGGGAACTTGCCAACCTTGAAAAAGGGAGAAAGAAGTGGGTTGCTTTGGTACAAAAAATGGTACATAA